AACACGCTGTTGCTAGTTACAAGAAAGCTTACTGAAGGAAAAAAAAAAATCAGTAAAAAGAAAAATTGGCTTCATCCTGGCTCAAACCAGGACAATGGGCCTTGGTGGGTTCCCTCCTTGCCTCTCTGAAGTGCAGCTTGTCCACGGCACTTTGTCCATGGCACCTGGCTTGTTTGCAAGCAGTGCTGAGGTATTGCTGAATGATTGTTTGGGTTCGGGTGTTGGTTTGATATGGCTTTTATGGCTTGGCCGTGGAAGAGGGTTGGGAAGGAAGAGGGTGGGTGGTGGGAGAGGAGGAACAGAAAGGGTAGACATTGTGTTTCTGCCTTGACAAGTGTGTGCTCTGAGGGTGCAGCATCAGCAGGAGATGCTTATGAGCTTGGGTGAGGATAGTGGGTCCCTGAGAGGGCCTTACTGTCAGGAGGCATTGATGAGCAAGGCAGGAGGCATTGGTGGGACAGGCTGCAGGAGGGCGGCTTAGGCCTGCCTGCCTGCAGAGACCCTGTCTTTGCCCATCAGGCTTATGCATAAAGGCAATTTATTTCTTCTTCTCTTTTGTTTGTGCAAAAAGTGTTTATTTCCATCAAGCGAGTGAATCTCTGACTGAATAAATATCCAGCTGAACAAATAAATAAATAAACACATAATCAGAGTTCTGTGATAAATAAATAAAGCATCAGAATTTGGTGCTAAATAAATAAATAAATAGATAGATAAATAGGGAGAGTTCAAGAGTCACCGGTGTCGGTGGGGACCTTCCCCTCCATGGGAGCAGGTTGAGTTTTCAGCAGAGCAGTTTGCTCCTCCCTGCTTTCCAGCAAGGTGTGGCTGTGGTGTGAGTGCGTGGGCGGTGCGGCAGGCTGGCCCCGGCCTGGCCCCGCTCACGCCCATTCCCCCGTTGGCGCAGTCTGGTGGCTGGAAGAGGTGGCAGGCGTGCGGAGCAATGCCAGCCCTGGCTGCTGCAGCCTCTGGTTGTCCTGCCAGCGTGGGTTGGGGCCGGGCGTTGGGCGCGGGTGGGTTTGTTGGAGGTCAGGAGCGGCTTTGCTCTTCATCTGCCGTATGAGCGTGTCCAGGAGTCGGAAGGAGGTGTCAGCTTCGAGGCGGACTTGTTCCCAGGCGCAGGCGCTGTAGTGGTGGGACTGGAGGAAGTTCTGGATGCGCGTGAAGTTTTTGTGGATGTTGAGCAGCAGGTTGCGGGGCCCGTGCCTCTTGCGGAGCGTGCTGTTGTCTGGGAAACATTGCTGCAGGTGTTGGATGTAATGCTCGAGGTTGTTGAGGAGCTGATGCCGTGCCTCGGCGTCCCAGTGTGGTGGTGTTCTGGAGCTGCTGAGGATGGCCAAGAGGTGGTTCAGGATGCGCAAGGCGGCGTCGGCGGCGTGCCCAGGGCTGTCGGTGTGGAGGAGGACGTCAGGGAAGGGTGTTGAGGGCTGGTGGTGGCAGTCCTGTGGCGGGGTGGGATCCATGGCCTGGAGGAGCTGGAGGTTGTCCCAGGAGAAGGTGTCGTCGCGGGGCCGCAGGTGGTGGCAGGCGGTGGCGGTGGCCAGCGGCGTCAGGAGGAGCAGGAGCGTGGCGACGGCGTGGCACAGGCAGGCCCGCGGGGTTGCGGGCGCAGCCATGGTGGGTGTGTGGGTGGTGTTGGGCAGGAGGCTGGTGGTGAGGCTTGTTGGTGGTGCTGGTGAGCGCTGTGCTTGGGGAGGTGCGGCGTGTGCGGCTTTATGTGGTGCGGCGGCTTTCCCTTGCTCGCTTTCCGGTGGCGGCGAGTTGCCGCTTGTGGTTTCATTTTTGGCTGGTGGCTTTGGTGGTCTTGTGGAAGTCCGTAGTGGAGGTTCGGGTGGCGGCGTGTGGGGAGGGCGGTGAGGGTGCTGTGCTGGGGGTGTGCTGGGTCTTGGTGGATTTTGGGGGATGTCGGTGTAGTTACTGAGTGGGTGATGCGAAAGTGGTAGGTTAGGAGCGCTTTGGACAGTCGTGGTACTGACGGTGTGGTTTTTTTGGTGGTTTCTCCCTTTGCCGTCTAGTTGGCTCTGACTGCTGTTTTGTTCCTCTCTATTTCCCTTCCGGCTCAACCAGCTTTACATGGTGCAGTGGCTTTCTTTTCATCATCATAATCATGTCGCCAGAATTTCCCTATTTCAAATTTCAGTTTTGCTTTCCGTTTGCTTTATCCTGACAGCTCTTGTTGTGCTTTTCAACTTGTGAGGAGTAGGTGGCCCTGGCCTAGGGAAAAGGAGCTGGTTCTTTCCCAGGGTTTCTCTCAGCATGCAGGGGAATCCCTTCTCTGCTTTTGTGCTTCAGTTCCAAAGCCAAAGTGTGATAGCAGAGGTTTTAGAGCAGGTGTGCTGGGGATGCCTTTCAGTGTTTCCTTCTCTTCTGTTCTGTGGGTTGTCTGTCCTGCTTTTTATTTTCAAGCTTTTCTGCCTACCAACATCCATTTTTCTTATTTCATACACTGTTATAACTTGTATATATGCTTTAATGCATGTTTTCCTTTAGTTCATCAGTTGTTTTTTTCCTTGTCCTTTCTTTATAGCATCTGCAGCTTTGCTGGTGGGAGAGTTTTTCTTGTCTTTGCAAACATCTCGCAGGATGTTGCTGAAGTGGTTTGTTATCCCTCCCACCCCCCTGGTTATTAGTCTTCATTGTGTATTGATATTTATAATAAATGCAGAAATGTTGCCAAGGATTTTTCATCAACTTTTCATTCAGTGATGGTGATTTCTAGATTTTGGGGTTACTTATTGTAGCTTGAATTTGTTGTATAAATTATGCAGGATTGGGTGCTTGAGAGGCATGAGCTCGTGTGATTTTTTGCCTTTGATGTGTTGTGCTGCTTACATCTCGAAAGCGAAAGTGGGCAGAATCCCAAGTGTGAGTCATTACCACTTCCTGGGAAACTTCCGGCAGCAGTGCCGGTGGCTGCTGATACAGCAAGAGTGGGATTTTCTCCTGAGGTTTCAGAGGAGGCTCTTTTTTAATGTATCTTGATTTCCTAACGGGTATGTTGATGCTGTAAATCCTCACCGTTTATTGCTATTTTATTATTATTTTTGCATGTATTTCACTGGGATATTCTGTCTTCTCTGTTAGTCTGACGCAGGCTGCCTGTGTAGCTGAGATCTTACAAATGCCTTGGCTAGTGTGCATGGTAGTTACTGAGATGCTTGGTGGAGCCTAAATCTGTAGGCCAGATAACTTAAAATTTTCTAGTCCGTTAACTTAAAATTTTCCAGTCCTTTTCTGCCTCACTTTTAAAATCTATTCCTGATACTTCAGTTCAGACACTTTTTCCTGCTTTTCTTCTGTAGGTCAGGAAGTACCCATGTTATCTGAAGAGCGAAATATCTCTTCCCATGTTGGATGGTCATGAAGTGCAAAGATAACTGTCTTGCACTTGTACTTCCTAGTGATTTGTTATTTTGCATATGTGCCTGTGTAAGTGTGTGGGATAAGGATGTGCAGCTGTGATGTAGTTTTCCCCCACCTGACAGGCAGCGGGAATAATTGCAATTGTTAGACCCTGTTCTCATGCTGCTTTGGTTTTATTTTGTCCAGTTTATATAGGGTAAAATGCTGGTGTGTCAGTTCCAGTTCATGTCCACTGAATTCTGTTCAGATCTCTTCTCCAAATTTGCTTTTTGTGGCATTTTTCTCAGAAGAAGACAGGAGCATTGCTTTTGAGTAACCTACCAACACTTTTCTTGTGAATTTGGTTGTTTTGTTAAGTGAGTTGTGCCAGAGTTGGTAAGGTGGAATTATGTGGGAAGGGAAGGATGATGAAATATGGCACAATTTCAAGCTACAGAAAGCAATTACAATACTAAATCTTTGCTGGCTTATTTTGTGTTCATTAATGGAGGATTGAGTGTAGGAAATGAGGGTGCTGCACAGAGATGCAGCACAATGGAAACTGCTGTGCACTCAGAGAAAGCATTTGAGGTGATGGGGAATTTACAGAGAGGAGTATGAAGGAGAAGGATGCTTTTGCAGTATTGAAGAATGTGTGGAAATTGATATCTTAGTGGTTAAAGTATTAACTCTTGCTGAAATAGAGGCGGTGAAGAGTAAACTATGAGAATTAGGAGGAAAAGTGTTTAGCCTCAGCCACACATATTGAGTTCACCCAGAGAGGGAACGGAAAACTTTTCCCTTTTTCTCTCCCAAACTGATGACAAAATGCTGCTTTGGTTTTGCTGGCATGTTGTGTCATCTCAGAGTGCACTCTTTCTAGGGTGAAAACTGTCTGACTCTACTGTAGAGGACATAGAACTATCTAAGGCACTGGTCTCCACCTTTTTTGATCACACACACCATCAGTAAAAAATTTGTTAGCACTCCCTCCCCCCAGTATATTTTTATTTCAGAAGTATAGAACAAGCACAAAAATAAAAATTTAAAAAGGAGGAGAGAATGCTTACGCAAACTCTTATTTTTATTTTTTTTAAAATGTCATTTATTGATGGTACCCAAAACATTTACTTTCTGCACTCCAATGGATTGTCTTGCACACCCCGCTTTGGAGACTACTAATCTGAGGTCTCATGTAACAGAATTCAAGTAAATTTTCCAGTCATCAGGTAGTAACTCTTTTTCTCCATATTTTTTTTAGTTATGTTTGTGCTGATTTCCTTCTAGAAAACTTTACTTCTAGAAAACAGGTCATGGTACAAGGGTAAAATCCTTTTATTACATCTGTGTTGTGATTATGGTCCTGGCCTGACCAGCAGCTCTTTGGCCCCTCATGCTGCTCTTCCAGGAGCAGTCTTACTGGAAGATGACAGCTCTTACCATTAAGAAATTAAGTATTTGCATAGAATATTAATATTGTCTATAATGTAGGTTTATTTTGAAGTTAAGGATCAGATAAACCTTCAGCTCTGCTGTAAGTGATGGGGTCTGCTTCTCCCCACACTTCCTTTAGTCCTTACTTTTAAAATTTTCTTAAGCCTTATAATACAAGGTTCATAAGAGCTGTCCAGCTTTGTGGCTTCAGCTGTTAATAAGTGATGTTGTCTCTTCCCAAGGATTACTATGGAATTACATTCCCTGCTCCTGCAACCTTGACAGGCAGAGATGGGAGCCTTGCTAACAACCCGTACTCAGGTGAGTGCTATTTAAGGACGTCAGGTGAAGTGTGCTCGTTCCTAAATGCAGGTTATCCTGCCTTTGCTGAAGAGAATTGTTTTTCCTTTCTGTAAGCAGTTGAACCCATCAGTCCAAATTAGTCAAAAAAGTGAGCATCTCCCTCCCTGGCATAGAAGTTTCTTCATGGTTTTGGTCAGTAATTCATAGCTTACTTCTACTGGAACTGAGATGGGTAGCCTTTGAGAGTGAGTGCAAAATAGTTACAAATGTAAGCACCAGTGTCATCTGGTGCCCTCCCAGAGCACATCCAGGGGCTTGAAAAGTATTCCGTCATTCTCAAAAGTCGGCTGGCTGCTTTCCTTTCTTGGCACTGGAAGAGACCCCCTCAGCAGCTCTTCATACTTTGTTAATGATATTTTAGCACTTGTATGGTGTCAGTAGGAGCTGCATCTAGCAGGCTTCCCCTCACCATCCCCAAATCTGGTGGACTTCATTCCCAAAAAGATGTAATCTAAGAAGTCCT